AGGAAGGAAGGAAGGAAGGGATATGTGAGACAAATCTTTTCTGCCCTTGGCTGGAGAAATGCTTTGGGGAAGAAGAGCAGGAGGCAAATATGAGTTTGGCTGTAGGTGGTGGGGTTTCTTGGGCCTGGTTCTCATCTGAGAACTTATAACTCTCCCCTTACCCAAAGATTTTTTGTGAGGATAAACCACAAAAGGAAGGAATCAAGAAAGCAAGTGTTTCTCTCCGTATCTGCTTCCTTGTCGCCATGTTTCTCAGCCTTCCCTTCTGGCTGTCTTTGGTCTCTTCTCGCCTCGCCTGAAAAAGAGAGCCAGAGACAGGCTCTCTGAGAGAGGTAAAATCTCTTTTGGCTCCCTCCCAGGAACTGAATTGCATTATCAGTTACAAGCTGCGCCAAAGGATTCAGGGCTTGTGCGCTATGCAAAGGCAACAGAATCACTCTCCGTTTCCCTGGTCGACACTCAGGGGATGGAATGGAGAAAGTGTTAAGACCGTTGCCACCATCTGCGTCTAAGAGAATCCCTTTTTTTTCTTTGCATTCGCTTGGTTTGTTTCTAACTGCTTATCTGTGCAATCCTGTGCAATCCTTACATCTGTTATTTTGCTCTGGGCTCCCCTGGTATCGTTCCTTATTTTATGATGGCCTGCAAAAGGAAGTTCCCATCCCCATAGCAAGGTATTTCTCCTTTAACACCTGAAAGATACATTAGCACTGCAGTGTCCTCTGATTTCCAGAGCCTGGAAACTAATAGAAACTGTAAGGAATCAGGATTTTGACATGGATGGAGAAATCCTGCATTGTACAGATTTGCCAGAATCATCAACTGCAGTTCAAGAGTACACTAAACCCTACTCTGTCTTAATTCAAGTATGAAGAAACTACCAATATTCATTCATCTAATAAGCAACTATTTAAACCCATCACTGTACCTTGGAAGCATCATGAAGCAGCTATTTTTTTTAAAAAATGGTCAGTTGCATCACCTTCTAGTCTCAAGTCTTGTGTTTTTCTAATGCACAAGTTTTCATTCATGTCAAGTTCAGGAACATTTATAATCCTGTCTGCCAATGAGAATTGCTTTTTCTTTTATTGCCACATAATCCTCCTCCTTCCTCCCTCTGCATTCCTCTTCTGTCTCTTCCCTTTTGCTTCATTTCTCAGGGTGCAGTTGTATAATACTTTGGCAAACACATTTTCCAGTTCATAAATACATAAATTTCTCCCTTCTTTGCCCTGTAACCTTCCCATTTCATCCCAGCATGTATAATTCCTGCTAAGCTTTTTTTTTTTTTTATCTGATAACTCAATTTGGAGCACATGTCTGGGAAATGAGATTGCAGGGGAACATCAGAAGAAATGTCTTCAACGGCCCCGCAGATGTTCCTTTAAATTCATATTCTCCTGAGTCTGCAGACACAGCTTTGGAAGTTTGACCTGGAAGAGCCATACTTTTAAAAATGAAGGGAAAGGAAGCAGGGGAAAAGGATGAAATGGAGGCAAAGTCATCCCTTTGCCCTACTTTTGAAGCATGATTATATTCCAACACATCAGCCATCATCTGAAAACAAATGCCCCAACTAAATTTCCAAATTAGATGGGCAGGTCCACCCTTCTTTCTTTATGTCATGGTATCTCCACTGTATTTTCCTAAAATCCTGATCTAAATGGTCTGCTGAAGCTGCTGAAACATAACCTCTGCAGCAAATTTTAGGAGTTGCTTGGCATCGTGCACCATCGATGGGCAGTGGGAATGTTTAGTTTTAAATAGAAGAATCTTCTCCTCCCCGCCCCACCGATGGAAAAATATCAGCATCTGAATCCGGGTAAGCTAGCTGCCTAGACCAATGTTGTCCAAACTTGGCCACTTTAAGATGAGTGGACTTCAACTCCCAG